CGTTGGAGTAAGTGATCTTGAGGCGTGATGAATGGCTTTGGCACTGTTGTCTGGGTAAGTATGGTATATTACCGTTCCGATGCCATGTGATGATGCGTCCGCTGCAATGTGAATTGGCAGTGGCGGGTTGTAATGAGTTAGTAGTAAATCCGATGTTAGAAAGCGTTTGAATTCGTCGAGAGATTGTTGATATTCTTTGGTCCAAAGGAATTTGTGATCGTTTTTTAAGAGATCATCTAGTGGTTTTCGGATATTTCTCATGTTGTAGACATACTTTCCATAGTGGTTTATGGAGCCCAGTAAGGATCGTACTTCTGAAATGTTTTCAGGGACCTTGAGATTCTGTATTGCAAGAATTTTGTCTGGATCAGGGCGTATGCCGTTTTTGTCTATGATTTGACCTAGATATTTGATTGATGGTTTGAAAAATTGACATTATTCGAATTTGAGTTTGAAACCGTAATCTTGAATTTTCTGTAATAACAAATTAAGATTAGTTTTGTGATCGTGAAGAGATCTGCTTGCCAAGACTATGTCGTCTATGTACGCTCGAGCTCTTTGGATGTCTGTGCATAGCTCATCCATGATTCGCTGGAAGGATCCTGGTGCTGATTTGATACCTGGAGTGAGGCGATTACATCTGTATAACCCTTTGTGAGTATTAATAGTGTGCAAGTTTTTGCTTTGGTCGTCGACTTCTACTTGAAGATATGCGTCAGAGAGATCCAAATGACTAACTATCGTGCAATCGTGACAGTCTGATAGAATTTCTTCAAGAGTAGGCAAAGGATACTGATTTGGTTCAGTTGAATTGTTGAGGCCTGTAGAATAGTCTGCACAAATTCTAATTTTACCGTTCCTTCTACTCACGACTATTGGCGCTGCAAATTTTGAAGATTTGACTGGTGTGATGATGTTTTCTTTTTCAAGTCTATCTAGCTCTGTTTCTATGTCTGTTCTTACGGCGCATGGTACTGGACGTTTTGCAATGAATGTTTCTTTTGCGTGTGGAAGAAGTTTAATATGCACTTTGATTTTTGTACAGAGGCCCAGACTGCTGTTATCGAAAACAGGTTTGTACTTGCTTCTCAGGTTAGATATGTATTCATCGTTTGATATTTGGCGACACCAAGCTGAAATTGGTTTGTCCCAAATGTTAAAACTTTGTATCCAGTCGATACCCATAATATTTAAGTTATCGATTTCCGTGACGTAGCATTGTAGAGTTAGCGTTTTGTCTTATACATTGATTGACACTTTCCAATTAGGCTGATGCTGTTGGAATTTACGTCTGTTGCAGTATCATTTGTTTTGTGTAGGTGTGGTTTACCTTTAGATTTCCATGTTGATCATGATATGATTGAAATATCAGATGCTGTGTCTATTTGTAATTTGACTTGTTTCTCGTTTATCTCCACGGTAGTGTATTTTCGCACGGTAGTGTATTTTCGTTGGCTTTGTATTTTGTTTTGTCCGACTTGACTTTGACTTTGTCTGTAGTAGACTTGCCTCGTTTTGCACTTTTGCAAAAGTTATCCTTGTGACCTGTCTGCTGACACTGTGAACATTTATGACTTTTAAATGGACAGTATTTTGAGTAATGCATATCTCCGCATAACCAGTAGGGCGTTTTAGGAATTTTATGGGAATATTTGTTGTTGTTCTTGGCGAATTTCTTAACCGCGTGAATTGATTGCGATTGATGCTCGATCAATGTATTGTCTGTTTTCAAATCCATGAGTCGTTGAGTTTCATCTACAAGAGTGTTTAGAGTTGTGGAGTACTTTGCTTCGTCTAGCAATTTGAGTAAACGTAAGCGAATGTCGTTGTCTTTGCTTGATTTTAAACGTAAGACGTAGATTAGACACTTGAATTGATCCACTTGCATTTCATTTAGCTTGAAGAGTTCGCACTGTAAGTTGACTCTACCGGCGTATTCCTTATAGTCTTCTCCATCAAGTTTTTTCATTTGTAAACACTTGTAGCGTTGAGACAATTGAGTTTCTACCTTACCAAATAATTTGTTAAGTTTCTCTAGGGTGTCCTTGAGACTCATTTCTGTTGGATTCTTTGGAAGAACGTAGTTCCTGAATCTTTCGTGAACACTGTTTGAAATTTTTCTCCAGAGTAACGCAACTTTGTCATGATCGTCCAAGGATTGGGCTTCTTTCTCGAAAACGTATTGGTAGCGGTTGTACCACGCTAGGAAAATTAATCCGCTCTCCGGTTCATAAACGAAGTCTGTCATGGAATGCGAAAGAGATTCCATTAATGTTGCTTTTGAAGTGCTGGGGGTCGTAGCATTGTTGGTGTTTCCAGCAATCTGTTCTTGAAGTAGATTTGTTAATTGTTGTAGTAACTGCGTTTGAAGATTCATAGCCGTTTGCTGTTCAGCTAGTAATTTCACAATGTTATCGCTTGACATTTTTTTGCAGTTAATTTTTGCGTAGATAAATTGAGATGAAGGAATTTATTTCCTTATTCAACGTCCTCGTCGCCAGTTGTTGTACTCTTACGTTTGTGTAAAAGATTTAGTTGTGCTTTTACGTTTTTAATAAAAGGCTTGTTGATAAATTAACAAAGTTGAGCAAGATTTATTCTGGTTATTTCTGCAAATAAAATACGTTACAAATATGATGATGAATGAGTGAGTGAGAAAGAGTGTAGCTGACGGTAGTGTGTGTATGTGTGCCTTCATAATAACTATGATGCCTAGTTTTTGAATGTTTACAGTAGAACCCTAACAGTTATCGAATTTACCGGTCAAAAAATCGATAGTAATTTCTGAATTGAAATCCTGGCAATATGACTTTAATTTAACTATCATAAATAAAGTTTCATCGATTTATAAAAGTTAAGGATCCCATAAAGTATGTTAAAGAGTAAAAATCTTTGTTGATTAATTTTTTATGTCCGTGAGCCTCTTTGTTCACCATTTGCAATTTACGATAGATTTAATATGTGTCTTTCAAACTTTGCACAGGTTTTTATATTATTCTTAGGATGATTGATGTTGCAAGAGTTATATATTTGTTCCCATTTAGATATAGCCCTCATATAATATTATATCCTAATATTCGTCGACCAAATGTACTCTAATTTGACCGATTTGAGGTATTTTAAAGTGCTCAAAAGCATTTTTGAGGTTAGAAATCATTTGTTAAAAATTACAACATAAGTCCACTTTACGATATTTCATCGTATTTAATTCAATTTTCAAACCTCTATTATCAGTATTATAAAGGCCTTAGCAATATTTTCCAAATCAAAAGTAATTATAAATTCGTAAATTTTAGAAGATCATGTTGTAAGGTATTTAGTTTTTACCACCGTAAAATCCTATGTCAATTAAACTATATCCGTCTGTGTGTGCGGCCGTTCGTGTGTAAAATATTTAGGTTAATCTTTCATCTTTTATACAATATTCTTAGGAAGTTATAATATGTCCGTTTTGTTTAGGTATAATAATACCACTAAAAATTGTGCATGTTTTGGTTACAATTTCTACCGAATTATCTGTAACTTGACATTTAAAGTTTTCGGTATTGTGAAATCAATACCCACAATAAATGTTTAAGAATTTTAAGCATTTTCAATTCCAAAATGCATTTTGAAACAATTCTACACAAAAATCCATATCAAAATAGAAGAGTCAATTTTTTCAGTTCCGCGATTTTTATAGAGGTTTTTATCAAAATTTTCTTTCATGAAAACGTTTTCACCCTAATTACAAATAAACAAAGCTGTTCTCAACTGCTAAACTTTTTAAAATATTTTTTTTTAACATATTGATTTAAAGAAATAGGTGTGTCCAGTTGCTCTGAATTCATGCAGATATCTAGGGTGGAGGGCGAATCAAAATTACGTCGTATACTGTGGAACAGATATCTTCATCTTTTGTAAATTGCAAAATAGAATTTTAGGTAAATCGACCAAATGGGCGTGGCCACTGTTTCTTTTCATAAAAACCTAACTCGGGGTAGAACATTTTGAAAAAATTATTCAAACCGTTCAAACCTAATGACCTGAATATCAGTTCTAATGACCTGAATTTTCGTACATTCGACCGAATTCAGTCTAGAAGCAAGTACATCAAATTTGGAGAAAATCAGTTCAAAAAAACTGCAACAAATTCAAACGACATAATTTTTACATTTTTTTCAAATTTAATTGAATGAAAGCAAAAAATGTCGGAAATAGCATCAGTTTTTAGAATAAGTTTAGATTTGTTCGAATTGGTCACCTTTGGCACGAATTACGGCCTTCAAAAGGCCAATGAAACCGTCACACGCTGCCCGAATGTTGCTCTTCGGTATTTTGGGCCATTCCCGGCGAAACGCTTGCTTGCGGTGATCGACACTTTGGTATTTTTTAGTGCCAACCTTGCTTTCCAAAATACTCCAGACACAATAGTCAAACGGATTGGTATCCGGAGATTTAGGTGGCCATTGTGCGCTGGCAATGAAGCGAGGAACCTCATTTTGTAAACATTCTTGGGTGGCGCGTGCTGAGTGCGATGGTACTGAGTCCTGTTGGAATGTCCAAAGTCCTGTTGAAATGTCCGAAGATGCACATTTTCATCTGACACGATCATTTTGTTTGTTTACAAACTGTTGGACAAATTCGGCAGATCACCACTTTCGGCCAAGCGAAGAAACCCATTTTCCATTTTGTGGAACTCGGCTCCAGTATATATTTTTTTTAATATAATCCTTCTCGAAGTGGTATAAAAGATTAAAATGTCTCCGTCAAATTAAGAATTGGATATGCCTCCTATATATTAGTTCCTTCTGAAACCAAACTATAACTGCTCTAAAGCCTAATGTTGATAAGTGGTATGATCTACTTCAAATAAATTCTTTTGTTACGGGAGCTCTACTAAATATGTATAGTGGTGTAGGGTAGAAGGTTTTTATTTCCATTCCGATATTTATACATGATTCTGAAGAGTCAAATTTGTTATCAAGGACATAACACATTTTAAAGGCAACTGATCTTATCCTCCACAATTAAAATGAATGGGAATTAATTGTTCTACTATCTCTTGATCTGTTAAATGTGTTTAATACCTTTAACTTGTGTATTTTAGGCTCAAAATTAAGATTTATTCATTTTTGGGAAATGGATCACAGTTGGTTGCTGTCAACGGTAAACAGTTTGACACACTGTCTCTATTTAGTGGTGTACCTCAAGGTTTTATCTAGGGACCACATCTGTTCCTTTTTTATGTTACTGACTTGCGTGATACCATGCACTTTGAATCTTGTGGAACCTTGAAGTTTGCAGATGACATTTTTATAATTTTCATTTAAAATATTGATAGCTTATCATTTTCAAAAAAAAAAAATAAATAAATAAATAAATAATAATAATAAATAAATGAATAAATGATAAAGAGGATCTATTGCTCTAACAAAAATTCGAAAATGTTGCGACACACCTATTAGCTGCTTTCAAAATAACACATAAATACCAGTACAGTAGAACTTCGACAATTCGTAATCTTCTATAATTCGTAATAAACTGTCGGTCCCTTGAAAAAATCTCGATATTTCGTAAAATTTACACGCATTTTGGTCCCCTCGATAATTCGTAAATTTTTCATCTCAAAACAAATTATAATCTCATAAAAATGTTATAATTTTGTTGTTAATATCTTTTTATTACAACTGGTAACGCACCAAATGCATACCGTCAACAATTCTTGCGAAATTACACAATCACTTAGCGCAGTCAACGGCTTTTACCGTTAGTTTTTCTTTATGATGTTGTGTGTGTGTTTCATTGTCAGTTTGTTCGCTGACTCAGTGGTGGTATGACAAGAAGGAGAGCGAAACATAGAATGGCAAGCAAACGTACGAACAAAACTTTGTCTTTGTCGCAAAAACAAAACATTATTGAAGCAGTTGATAATGGAACAAAAAAAATTGACGTGGCTAAACAATTTGAAATCGCTCCATCGACGCTTACTTCAATATTAAAAAAGAGAGATTTCATTTTGCAATCTTCTCCTAGCAGCAAAGCAAAACGGCAAAAATTACCAAAGTTTCCCGATGTAGAAAAGGCTTTAGTTTTATGGTTCAGACAATGCCGAGAGTCTAATTTGGAAGTTTCAGGCCCATTATTAATGGAAAAGGCCAATTTTTTCGCAAAAAAGTTAAATGTGAACAATTTTAAAGCAAGTAACGGCTGGCTTGATAAGGTAAAAAAACGAAACAACATCACGTATAAAAAAATATGTGGAAAAAGTGCTGCCGTCGACGAAAATGTTTGCTTAGAATGGAAAGAAAAACTTAAGGATCTCATAAAATATTATGATGCCAATGACATTTTTAACGCAGATGAGACTGGTCTGTTTTATAAATGCTTACCAGATCACACTTTTTGCTTTAAGGATGAAAAGTGTCATGGTGGAAAACACAGTAAAGAAAGAGTGACTTTACTATTTGCTGCAAACATGGATGGCACGGAAAAACTAAAGCCTCTATTGATTGGAAAGTCAGCAAAGTCCAGGTGCTTTAAGAACATAAGAACGTTCCCAGCAGAATACCGGTACAATAAAAAAGCTTGGATGACAACTGAAATATTTAACGAATGGCTTCAAATGTTGGACAATAGCATGAAGAGTCAAAACAGAAAGATTGTTTTATTCGTTGACAATTGCACTGCACACAACAGGTACCCCGATCTTAGCTATATAAAGGTAGAGTTCTTATCGCCTAACACTAGTTCCGTCCTGCAGCCTTTGGATAAGGGTATAATTAAAAATTTTAAAACATTATACCGCAAAGATATGGTTACAAACCTAGTAAGTTGTATAGATGGGAAAAGAGAATTTGTATTTACACTACAAACATCTATGCTTATGGCTTATAAAGCTTGGATGAACATAAGCCAATCGTGTATTCAAAATTGATTCCGAGCTTGCGGTTTTGTTAAGGATGTGATCTACAATGTATCCGATGAACCGATTGTAAATATCAACAACGAATTCCAATGTATTCCTTTTAATTCCGAGAATGTCGTTACATTTGAAGAATACGTAATGTGTTGATAATGACGTTGGTGTTACTGGAAATCTGGGAGATGGCGATATTTTGGAACAAGTTTCAGTCGAAAATGATGACGATGATGTTGGCAATCGCGAAGAAGTTGTGACCCAAAAAGATGCTAAATCATCAATCAAAAACTACGCTCTTTTTTTTATCAAACCATGCTGTTGACGAATCATTATTTAACTATTTAGAAAACTCAGTAGATAAAATACGAGAAAATAGCCTTAAACAACCTTATATCACAGACTTTTTTCATGTTTAATTTCATTTATTTTAGTTTTTAAATCAAGTGTGCTTATTTAAGCTATATGAATTGAAGTTTTTGTTTTTTTTTTCTGAATTTTTATATAAATATTTTAATAAATGAAAAAACCTCGATAATTCGTATTTTTTTTATTTTAATCTCGTTAATTCGTAATATCGATAATTCGATAATTCGTAAAAATTTGCTGGTCCCTTGATTGAATTACGAATTATCGAAGTTTTTATGTATTACTCCAATAGCGTATAAATAATTTATTTCAATGGGAAGAATTCATTTTTTTTTCGATTTTTTAGATTTAGCATTAATTTCAATATTAGTAATATTCGGTCGCTGTGAGTTTGGTACATTTAGTTTTTACATTGACCATAACCAAAAATCCAGCCTCACATAGATATGAGGCAATAAAGTTGAGGAGGACTTTCATAGCTTCATGAAATAGGCAAAGATACTTCCCAGCAACCCAGAGCCAGAATTTCGTTTATTGTTTGCGATTGAAAGCACATTTCAGTTATATAAATAAATGAGCTCTTCACTCGCATTTGTCGACATATTAGTTGGCCCAAAAATAGGTTAAATATTCCCCCAAACTTTTCAAAGTTTTACATCTTTTCCTCGAAATGAATGCCAAAGTTATTTCTTCGGCAATTGCAGCAAGTTTTTTCATCTTGGGTTGCACTTTGTTTTCTACTAATTGAGTTTTAAGTGATTCAAAACAATCATATTTACCGTTCTTAAAACAACTCTTTTTGTCGTTAATTTAATGGAACGATTTTCATTTTAATTACATTGTGTTAATGTTTTCTGAGCTATTGTTTAATTGGACAAAATATATTTTATTGTTTCATTATATCATTATAGCTTGGGAGCCAAAAATTGGAAAAATTATATTATGGTTTTTGCACTTTATTATAAATAATATTATTTTATAGTATTAAAAGCCCTGTATTATTCTTTCTCGACATCTCTTCAATAGTGTTTGAAGGGTAAAAGTTTGGTCGGTTGAATTTATGGCAAAAAAAAATTTGAATCGCGTAGCCGGTGTTGGACATACCGGAGAGGAGAAAATCCCAAGCCGAAGGCCGGCTTTCATGAATTTTATGACTAATATCTTCCGAACTACAAGAGATACCAGCAGATTTTGGAAAGGCTAGAGTGTAGTATGTACATCATAAATATCAATTTTCTTGTATTACTCCGGAACCCCATGACTTAAATCTTTATCAAATAACCGGCGTAAAAAAATTCCCACGGCAAAATTCTTGATTTGTGTTTGTAAATATAACACAGCATTTTCATACATTCAGAACTTTATATATCTCCGAGTCCGATTCATTTAAAACAGTCCTTAATTACAAAAAAAAAATAATTTTCGAAAACTGAATACCCTAATTTCCTGCGTAAAATGGCATCTGTGTGCCTGTGTAACAGCCATAAAAATCTGGAATATGTAATTGATAAATTTTATGAAATTTTAAATAGATTTAAACTGGTATGGGTTCCAACTACTAGAGTTAAAACTTATAATAAATATCCATTGATAACCCTTAAGTTATCAAGTTTAAAAAATTCTAAAAATAAGCTTCTTCGTAAATATAAAAACTCAGGCTTAACAATAAACTATACTTATTACTCTGCTGCTAGATCTAAATATACTTTAGAGTCTCGTAGATTGTACGATCTTTACCTCGGCAAGATTGAAACAAATTAAATCCAATGCTAAATCTTTTTATGATTTCGTTGACCTAAAACGAAAGGTTTCCTCAAAGCCATCAGTTTGAAATATAACAATAAAGAATTTGTCAAAGGCACAGATATTGCTGAATGTTTCGCAGATTTTTTGCCACAATCTATTCCAGTACATCTTGCCATATTAAAGATTCGTATCCTTATAAGTTGTCTCAGGCTGATCAAATTTGTATGCCTTTTCTACAACGTAAAGAAGTGTCCAATAGTCTGTAGTTTATAATCAATTAAATATACAGGATGGTATACCTACAATAATTCTTAAATATTGTTCAAAAACTTAACACTTCCTTCAACCATATTGTTTAATTATTCACTTAAATTTGGTGACTTTCCTACTTTGTGGAAAAAAATCTTATATTATACCTTTACATAAGTCTGGTAGTCTTACGAGTTATAGAGGAATTGCAAAATGTAGTGTCATTCCAAAATTGATAACTGGAGTAATTTCACTGAAAATTCAATTTATATTGTGTCCATATCAGCATGGTTTTCGTAGTGGTCTTTTAACTACAACAAATCTTATACAAACTACGTCAACAGTAATAAAAGGATTTGTTCAGCGTAAACAAACTGACACAATTTATACTGATTTTTGTAAAGCTTTTGATAGGGTTAACCAAGAACTTCAAACATATAAATTAAATTATATAGGTTTCAATACAAACTTAATCAAATGGATATCATCTTACTTACAAGATAGATCACAACTAGTTTTTTTTGAAGATTATCTATCCAAATCGATTAACGTTCCATCGGGTGTTCCGCAAGGAAGTAACCTTGGGCCGGTCCTCTTTTTTTATTTATCAACGATTTACCTAATTCCATAAATTACTCGAAATTGTTAATATACGCAGATAATGTTAAATTATTAATTTCCCATAATTGTGATAAACAAGCTAGTTTACTTCAAAACGATTTAAATGGCCTCTTTTAATGGTACAGGTTAAATCGTTTGGATTTAAATTAAAGCAAATGTGAGCATATGTGCTTTACCAGATCTTCTTCTCTCATATTGCAATATAATATTGATGGTCATTCATTATCAACTGTTGTTGTTGTTGTAGCAGCTCATACATCTGTGTTCGTTCGGTTTCCATTTTCTGACTCCATTCAATCAGGTTCTGCCTCTAAGTCCAGTCTCAAAAGGGATGCAACCTGTATGGGTTGTGTCCATAACGAGACTGGAGTTAGGTGAGTAGGCTTGGCTGGGCAGCGAAATAGGTTCAGCGTGTTCTCATTTTAGAAAAGCGATGGAGCTTCTTTTGGCTTTGGATGCAAAATATCGAATATTACTCAGTCCACTCTGTGTTGAATGTACATTTTACATTTTTTGTGAAAAATTCATATTTTACCCGCACAATTTTTGAAAAAAACTTATATTTTTATATAGGTTTTTAAGTTCTAGCAGTACTTGCAGAGCATTAATCTATAACAATCATACACATTATTATAATTTCTATCATTTTTATTGTTTTTATAGGGGAATACTTAACTCTTTCCCTGATATTTTGTCCACGCACAAAGGAGCTATGCAGAAGAGAAAGGAATGTGAACGTCTTGCAGCAGAACAGAAGATGAGTAATTCACAAATGGTAGATGTAAATCGTCGTACTGATATTGTGTCTTATGCTGTTATGGCTGAAATGACACATTTTCGAAATGAACGGGAAATCCATCTGAAACAAACTTTAAAGTCTTTGATAGAGGAGCAAATTAAATTCTATACTGATATTGTTTCCAAGCTACAAGATGCATACGCACAATTTAATTGAACATAATAAGTTAAAAATATTATTGCAATGTGTTGAAACATGTTTATTCCAATTTTTATTTAAGAGGTATACATATTTATAGTGGTATTATTCGCACATTTTTATAGCATACTTATCAAAATGTACGTATATGTTATCGTATAAAATAAAACCAATAAAAAATAACAGAATTTTCACTAAATTATTAGCAATGTCAACTTCTGTTGGTTTGGTACTGAATAGATGTTCATTTTTAAGTCTGATTTTCATTTTTATCTGAGGAAGTTATGGTCAACATTTTGGATGATCGTGAGAGAAACATTTGGATTAAGACAAATTTAGTTCCATGTTGTACACGTAAAAACGAATTTCCAAAACTTCCTACCCAATCCTACACCCCAACAGCAATCTTAATTCCAAATTTCAGGTTTCCCAAATCAAAATTGTACCAAATTAAGTACATAAAACTACAAATTTCCAATCTTACATTCCGACATTAATATAATTTTTACATTTCAGGATTCTAACTTTTAAGAACCAAATTTAGTACCGTTTAGTACTTTTCGTATACATGAGTACACATTTCCAAAACTGCCTCCTTATATCAACCCTACTCCTCACCCTTAATTCACATTCCAAATTTCACCCTTTTGTACATTCATCATACATTTCATCAACGACCTCAATCCAAATTTAAGAGCTCTAGCTCTACTGATTCGTCAAATTTCGTATTATTCTAGTACAAATGTCCAAAAACCCAGCCTTATCTGACACCTTCAAATCATTCGTTTAGGCGTTGATGAAACCTTAAGTCAGTCAATCAGTCAGTCAATTATTTTACTCTTTTATAAATATAAAAATACTAGCTGGCCCGGTCCGCGTTGCCGGCCCGTAGTTTTAGTCTTTAATGCAAATTTTCTATAGCATAATATTTCACAAATCTGGCTCATAAAGGTGAACAAATTTTAACATAAATATTGAACCGACTAAATAGAAATAAATACCTATGGAAGGAGGGCAAAATAATTTCTGAATGGTCAAAGTTAATTACGCTTTTACACCCATTACCATAGCACCTCAGATTGCGCTTTAGAGTCCCCAAGAAGTCTATGTTCTTGTTCATAGTGAAATTCAATGACAAATAAACAATGCCCGTGTTGTTTTCCGCCAATAGGTAAAACTCACTATAGATCGGCGGCACTGTGGACTATATGGGGACTATACCAAAATATTTACCTAAGTTGGCATTTTTCTGTAAGGTTCTCTACTCACAAAGTAGCCTAAATACAGCAAAATGGATTGGATAATGTGGTAAAGACAAGACCACGGTCATAGCTGAAATCAGGGATACATTCACACCAAAGTGAAAAGATAATTACTTTTTCAAAATCGCCAAAAATCCTGTTAGGGTTCTACTGTAAACTTTCAAAAACTAGGCATCATTGTTATTATGAAGGCACACATACACACAGACTACCCTCAGCTACACCCTTTCTCACTCACTCAGTCATTCAGACAACTCAGTCACTACACATCACAATAAGAACGTAAGAGTACAACAACTGGCGGCGTGGACGTTAAATAAAGAAATAAATTCTTTCATCTCAATTTATCTACGCAAAAATTAACTGCAAAAAAATGTCAAGCGATAACATTGTGAAATTACTAGCTGAACAGCAAACGGCTATGAATCTTCAAACGCAGTTACTAGAACAATTAACAAATCTACTTCAAGCACAGATTACTGGAAACACCAACAATGCTACGAGTCCCAGCACTTCAAAGGCAGCATTAATGGAATCTCTTTCGCATTCCATGACAGACTTCGTTTATGAACCGGAGAGCGGATTAATTTTCCAAGCGTGTTACAACCGCTACCAACACGTTTTCGAGAAAGAAGCCCAATCCTTTGACGATCATGACAAAGTTGCGTTACTCTGGAGAAAGATGTCAAACAGTGTTCACGAAAGATTCAGGAACTACGTTCTTCCAAAGAATCCAACAGAAATGAGTCTCAAGGACACCCTAGAGAAACTCAACGCTACAAGTGTTTACAAATGAAAAAACTTGTTGGAGAAGACTATAAGGAATACGCCGGTAGAGTCAACTTACAGTACGAACTCTTCAAGCTTAATAAAATGCAAGCGGATCAATTCAAGTGTCTTAGGTTTACAATCAAGCAAAGACAACGACATTCGCTTACGTTTACTCAAATAGCTAGACGAAGCAAAGGACTCCACAACTCTAAACACTCTTTTAGATGAAACTCAACGACTCATAGATTTGAAAACGGACAATACATTGATCGAGCATCAATCGCAATCAATTTGCGCAGTTAATAAATTCGCCAAGTACAACAACAAGCATTCCCAAAAAATTCCTAAAACGCCATGCTGGTTATGCGGAGATATGCATTGCTCAAAATACTGTCCATTTAAAAATCATAAATGTTCACAGTGTCAGTAGACAGGTCACAAGGATAACTTTTGCAAAAATGCAAAACGAGGCAAGTCCACTACAGACAAAGCCAAAGTCGAGTCGGACAAAACAAAATACAACGCCAACGCCGTTTTCTCATCGAAACAACTCCAACTCCAACAATTGCGAAAATGCACTACCGTTGAGATAAACGAGAAACAAGTCAAATTACAAATAGACACAGCATCTGATATTTCAATCATATAGGTAAACCACACCTACACAAAACATATGATTCTGCAACAGACGTAAATTCCAACAGCATCAGCCTAATTGGAAAGTGTCAATCAATGTATCAGACAAAACGCTAACTCTACAATGCTACGTCACGGAAATCGATAACTTAAATATTATGGGTATCGACTGGATACAAAGTTTTAACATTTGGGACAAACCAATTTCAGCTTGGTGTCGCCAAATATCAAACGATGAATACATATCTAACCTGAGAAGCAAGTACAAACCTGTTTTCGATAACAGCAGTCTGGGCCTCTGTACAAAAATCAAAGTGCATATTAAACTTCTTCCAGACGCAAAAGAAACATTCATTGCAAAACGTCCAGTACCATACGCCGTGAGAACAGACATAGAAACATAACTAGATAGACTTGAAAAAGAAAACATCATCACACCAGTCAATTCTTCAAAATTTGCAGCGCCAATAGTCATGAGTAGAAGGAGCGGTAAAAATAGAATTTGTGCAGACTATTATACAGGCCTCAACAATTCAATTGAACCAAATCAGTATCCTTTGCATACTCCTGAAGAAATTCTATCAGACTGTCACGATTGCACGATATTTAGTCATTTGGATCTCTCTGACGCATATCTTCAAATAGAAGTCAACGACCAAAGCAAAGACTTTCTAACTATTAATACTCACAAAGGGTTATACAGATTTAATCGCCTCACTCCAGGTATCGAATCAGCACCAGGATCCTTCCAGCGAATCATGGATGAGCTATGCACAGACATCCAAGGAGCTCGAGCGTACATAGACGACATAGTCTTGGCAAGCAGATCTCTTCACGATCACAAACTAATCTTAATTTGTTATTCAGAAAATTCAAGATTACGGTTTCAAACTCAAATTCAAAAAATGTCAATTTTTCAAACCATCAATCAATTGTCTAAGTCAAATCATAGACAAAAACGGCATACGCCCTGATCCAGACAAAATTCTTGCAATACAGAATCTCAAGGTCCCCGAAAACATTTCAGAAGTATGATCCTTACTGGGCTCCATAAACCACTATGGAAAGTATGTCTACAACATGAGAAATATCCGAAAACCACTAGATGATCTCTTAAAAAACGATCACAAATTCCTTTGGACCAAAGAATGTCAACAATCTCTCGACGAATTCAAACGCATTCTGACATCGGATTTACTACTAATTCATTACAACCCATTACTGCCAATTCACATTGCAGCGGACGCATCATCACATGGCATCGGAGCGGTAATATACCATACTTGCCCAGACAACAGTGCCAAAGCCATTCATCGCGTCTCAAGATCACTTACTCCAACGGAACGAAATTACAGTCAAATCGAAAAAGAAGGACTAGCACTAGTTTTCGCCGTACAACGTTTCCACAAAATGATTTTCGGAAGAAAATTCACCCTACATACCGACCATAAACCATTGCTCACAATATTTGGTTCTAAAAAAGGTATTCCGGTCTATACTGCGAACAGGTTACAACGTTGGGCTCTTATCCTTCTCACCTACGATTTCGATATAAAGTATACCAACACTAAGGATTTTGGACCCCCAGACGTTCTGTCAAGATTGATAAACGCACATAAAAAACCATCAGATGAGTACATCATAGCTTCCATCAACCTAGAAAAAGACATAAGGTATGATATCACAGACGCTGTATCAACACTCTCAGTTAGTTTCAAAATGAGACAAATTGCTACCAAAAACGATCCAACCTTACAAACAGTTTCAAACTACGTATACAACGGCTGGCCAGAAAACAAAAATAACATAGATTTATCAATTGTTCCATACTTCAGCAGGCAATATTCAATATTAATAACAGATGATTGTTTTATGTTCAATACGCGCATAATAGTACCCGAATGCTACAGAAAACAAATTCTCAAACAACTGCATAGCGGACACATAGGAGCAGAAAGAAGAAAATCTATCGCACGCAGCTACGTATATTGGCCGAACATCGACAAGGACATAGAGACTTACGTCAAGAAATGCAGCAATTGCCAAAACGCAGCAACAAGTCCAATCAAAACCAACCTTTGTCCTTGGCCCACAGCAACACGCGTTCTCGAACGTGTTCACATAGATTACGCCGGTCCTGTAAGAAGCATTTACTACCTCGTAATAGTGGATTCATATTCCAAATATCCTGTCATATATAAAACTTTAACAACCACGACCGCAACAACATTAAGGTTACTAACAACTTATTGTTCACAATTTGGAAATCCAGAAAAATTTTATCCAACAACATTTTCCTCAACAGATTTCGAAAATTGGTGTTCTCAACGAGAAATAAAACACACACGAACAGTTCGATATCACCCAAGTTCCAATGGTCAAGCAGAAAGATTCGTCTACACTCTCGAACAATCTTTAAAAAAATCAGAGGGAAAGGAGACGGCATATAATGCACTACAAACATTCCTAGAATTGTATCGTTCAACGCCGAACAAAAACTCTCCTAATGAACTTTCTCCAGCGGAATCAT